TCTCAAGGGTGCAATTCATCAAACACAAAACACTCCACCAACAAAGGAAATAGGATCACAAACCACAATCCTTCAGAAAACTCTTCCGTCCATCGACAAAAGGGCATTTCTGACAAACCATATGCAAGCAATCAGGTTCAAGCATCAACCACTGGCCTGGAGAGGCTACAAAGAATATTCACCACATCACCTCACAAAAAAGGATGATTCACTGCCCACTAGCACAAGGGCACTACCTACCAGCAATCCTTGTCTTCATCAGACATCCTCGCCAAAGAAAAGAGGCAATCAGATCATAAGAATCAACAATATCAGTAACCAGCCTGAAGAGGCTGACATAATAATACTCACCGTCAACAGCCAACCTGGAGAGGCCGACATAATAATACTCACTGTCAGTAGCCAGCCTGGAAAGGCTAACATAATAATACTCACCATCAGCAGCCAACTTGGAGAGACCAACATAATAAAACTCACCATCAAGAGCTAGCCTGGAGAGGTTGGCATAATAATACTCACCATCAGTAGCTAGCCTGGAGATACCAACATAATAATACTCACCATCAGTAGCCAGCCTAGAGAGGCCGACACAATAATACTCACCATCAGCAACCAGCCTCAAGAGGCCGGTATAATAATACTCACCATCAACAGCCAGCCTGGAGAGGTGATGGAATCATGCCAAGGACGCCAAGAGGTGACATCTTGAAGGAACCAAGAGGAATGGGCTAGACATGAAGATTTGGGCCAGTCAAAGCCCAATGGGCCCGATGGGCTTGGAAGGCCCAAGTTGATCCCTATATGGGCCACACCTTGAGATACACATTTTCTTTTATTTTGTATATATTTTATTAGTATAGATTTCATATATTTTGGTCTTGTATTTTGGACCACATAGGGTAGCATTTTTGGGCCATAGGCTTATTGGGCCTAGTTTTGGGCTTCATGGGCCTTTGGGCTTTTGGTACCCAACATTGGGCTCATTTTCATTCTTGTAATTTTTCCTTTCTATTGTATTTGATTGGCCATTGTATTTAGGCCATTAGAATAGGAATGTAAGAGGAACAAGTATTAGGCATGAATCATAAAGTTGTAATTACATTTAAGGATAATTTGAGTTTCATTTGAGTCACATGATTTGTGCCAAAGGTGGCTGCACATGTGAACACTTAAATGAACACTAAATTACCTCTAAATGAAATTAGGATTCTAGAAAGGAAGGTTTCACATGGGATAGGCAAAGTGGACGTTCAAATTTGAATTTAAATTTAATTCGAATTCAAATTTGGCGCCACTTGTAGCACATGGAGTTGGTGCCAATTTTCCTTGGATCCGTGGCCTTAAATACTTATTCCTTTCACTCTTGTAATTACTTTGAATCATATATGAGAAATCTAAAAATTTGCTTCAGCACATTTGATGGAGACCTCCCTTCCATGGTTGACAATGGCGGCTTGAATAGGGTCACCTTGCCCATGATCTAGGCTCACCAAAGGTTAGGGAGTGGGATGTTTAAGGTGGAGAAGGGATGATAGGCGTGAGATAGTGAAGGTGGGCGGAAGTGTATGGAAGCTCTATGTAAGTTGGCTCACTCCAAGTGAAGGTGGAGGCCACTCTAGGGTTTCACTCTCCAAGGGTGGAGAATTAAGGTGGTTAGTCGAAGTTAACCTAGGGACTAAGGATAGGATTTGCGGCAAAGAAATGCTCTCTCAAATTCATATGATCCAAAGTATTTACAAGGTGTAGTGCCTTGGGTATTTATAGGAGTGGGAGTCATCTAGGGTTGCATTTGGGGAGTGCATGGCCAAAATTCACAATGCCAAATGCACTCCAAATGAAATCCAAATTAACCCTAGATGTAACTTGGTGGCCAAGGATGGAATCTTTGGGATTAGTTAGGCTACATCTAGGTGCATGATAAGACCATGCAACCTTTGCCCTCCACTTGGGCCTAAGCCTTTCTAACACCAAAAGTAGGTCCAATAGCCACAAAAATACGTCTAGGTTTTTGTTCCCACCCTAATCAAATACCTTAGCCCAAAATTAAAAATTTATGATCTAAAGCACCCCATAATACAAGGGTAAAATGGGAAATACAAAAGAAAATAAATCCTGACTAAGATACTCCAAAATACAAGGATAAAATTAGAAATACAAATAAAATAAATTCTATGACTAAAATACCCCAAAGTACAAGGGTAAAAAATGAAAAATCAAAGATAAGGGCAAAATAGGCATAAAAATAAATTCTAGGCTACCAAAGCTTAGGAGAGTGATTAGGGTATTTTAATCTTGAGAAGCATGTCTTCTAGGGTTTTGACTTCCCTATCCTCTTCCAATCTCCTAGCCATTGGCCTAGTGATGGAGATGCCCTCAAATGCATCTTAAATTCACTCCAAATGAAACTTAATTAGCCATGATTCACATTCAGCACATGGCAGCCTGAAGAATTTGAATTCAAAATTCAAATTCTTGGCACCAAAGTTCAAATTTGAACTTAACACCACTTTGGCTTGGTTAGTTGCCTATTTAAGTATCTTCCTTCACATTTGTATTCACTTTGAACCTTTAGAGAAATCTGATCATATTGATTCAGCTTCAATTCTCTCCTCAAAGTCACTTTAGACACTTAGAAAAGTTCCTTGAGAGCTTCTAGGATCTAGCCAATTTGTGAGCAATCCATTGCTCACTTTTGCTTTGGTGCTTCCTTTCAATTTCTTCCATCTATCTTCTTCTTCTCTTTGCTGGATTTGACGTCCAGAACTTGGATCAAGGAAGAGCTCCAAAGCTGGAGCAAGCTTAAGGTGAAGAACATCATTCTTCTCCACCTAGTTTGCCATTAGTGCCTTACAAATACAAAGACAAAATATACATATACAAGTATCTACTATATACAAGGTACAAGAACTCAAACTATACAAGGGATATATAATAGAGACTACGAGACTAAAAAAAGGAATCATACTCAATGCTCATATTCATCATAGGTCTAAGAAACACTTCCTTTGTTGAAGCCTCCTAACCATGGACCTAATTAAAGGCCCAATGGTCTTCAAGTGTGAGTTCTCCTATAGATCAACCTTCACCCTTCTTGGTCTTACCTCTTCCAAGGGGATCCTTGGAGATTAGATTTCCATCACTCATGAGTTACCTTGATGACATCCCACATTTCTTTGGTAGTTGAGAAGCTATAGAACTCGTTGTACTTTGTTTGAATAAAAGCAATCAAGAACGTATCTTGCTTTAGTGTTAAACTATAAAGTGTTGTAGTTATCCTGAGTATATTCATTCTCAGACTTGGTAATAGCAACATCACCTTAAGTGATGATTCTCCAAAGATGGTATTGGGTGGATATGAAGAACATTTCCATTCGATCTTTCCAATATGGGTAGTCTTTTCCATAAAAGATTGGGGGCCTTATGAGAGAGGGTCCTTTTGGTAGGTACTGTCCTTCACTGCTTTCCATAATGGATCTTTGTCCTTTAGCATAGTTAGATACTCAATCCCATCAAAGGTTGAGCCTTGATACCAAATTGTGGAGAAAAGATAAACACTAAAAGGGGAGTTGAATAGTGTATATCAAAAACTCGCATGTTTTCTATAGCGAAGTAGTAATGCTTGTTAGATGAAGTAAGAAGAGCAGTTAGATGAAACATTGATTATTTTTATACTGGTTCATGTCAACCATCGAGACTACATTTATTTCTCAATCCTACTAGATTAAGTTTCATTATCTTTAAATAAAGATACATGTATTCTTTTAACAAGCCACTTCTAGCTCAATTCTAAGTATTCTTTGATTTGCCTCTTCAAGCAACTATCTAACTATTCTTTTAACAACAAGTCTCTCCAAGCTTAACAACCAAGTATTCTTTAACAGTCAAGCTTCTCCATGTTTATGAATAAGTATTCTTTTTCAGACAAGTCTCTTTAGGTTTTCAACCTTATAACAATGGTTATGAGGGATACAGAGCAGTTGTGTTTGTCTCACTTAGACGTTATACAACCGATTACAGAGCAATGAATGTTTACACGAAATAATAGATTTGCAGAGAATATGTTTTTGTACAAATTAATATATTTATGTTCATTCTTTCTTCTTTCCTGTGCACTGAGTCTTCTTATATAGTATCTTGAAGAAGATGACCATTGCAATACTTTTGAATCTAGCTCACAAGTTTGCTTCATTTGCCTTCATCGTTTTCCCTTGTGGGACAGGTAACCATTTGATACATTTAATGTGAACATTAAATGCATTTCACCAAATAGTATCTCTTATTTTATCAAGGAGACTACTTATCATCTTTTCATATCAAATGAAGCTTGTAAAAGCAATGTCAGCGTAAAACAACTATAATAGTGACTTTATATGCTTTTTTTCATGATTTTAGGGAATCGTCTTTTGACTTAACGATATGTAAACTTTCTAATATTGTAGTTTATCTTTCTTCTATTAAAATTAACCAACAAACAATAAAAAAAAATATAATAAAAAAATTAAATTAAATAAAAAGTTATAAGAATCTTTATAACTAGATATTCTTTTGTCAAAAAAAAGATTCTTTAAAACACTATCATACAAGATAATAATTTTGTGTTTAATGTGTAAGAGTTGATTTAATTCATAAATAATTATAGTAAATAAAACTTAAACTAAATAAATTTTTTTAGTCCTTTTTTTTCAAAAATACTTTTATCGTATAAAATAACAAATCCATATATTTAGTTTCTATGCTGTAAAAAAATAGTTTTTAATTAATTTGAAAATTTAAATAATGATTTGACACCTCGCAGCCTAGAACTGAAATGCACGAAGTTTTCAAAATAAAATAATAAAGAACAATCCGAAACAATCAGTCGAATTATTTTCTAAAAAAAATACTTTTTACAAATTCTAAATTAAATTAATATTCAAATTAAAAAAATTAACAGCTGTCAAATTTTTTAAAATTTGGAGGATAAAGCATTTTTCAATAATAAATGGTGACAAAGTGTGGCAGCGTGTCGAGCAATCTTTCCCAAAGGTGTCTTCCGGCTTCCTCTTTGAATCCCCCGCGCTTCCAAACCACCGAAACGCGATTGTTCAGGTCAAAATCGCGTTTTCACCTCAGCATTTTCCGAGTTTCAGTTCCTCTCAATCATTATCGCTACCGTTTCCGCTTCTCGCTCGCAACTCCTATGACGCAATCGCGTTGCGCGCGGCGCAAGAACGCTCCTCGCATTCCTCAAACCCTCGAACAGCGTCGGTAACCGCAATTGGCAGCAATTTAGGGTTTCGGTGCAGTTGAAAACACCAATCCCATGGATGGTGACGACGATCCTTCAGCACTTGCATGGCTTTGGGTCGTTGAAGCCCTATCAGCCTGCAAAAAAATCTCTCCTCCCACTTTACAGCGTAAGCAACCCATGCTTCAAAACAACCTCGTTTCCTTTCCTTTATTTCCCCCCCTTTTTCCTTTTGATTTCATTTTTGATGAATAATTTTATGATTAATGTTGTTGTTATTGATATTGTTGTTTTTGTTGTTGTAGGTATGATTAATTCAGGCCCTGTGAAGGATGAGAAATTAAGTGAAACCACAAGGGAATTGGTTGCTCTGAGGTGTTTGGAGGAAGTGTCTGCTTGTGTGGTTGACACTGACGCTTCTTCTACCGTGGATTCCAGAGTTGGATTCGATTTTTCGCGTGGTTGTGAAGATGTCCTCCAAGAAACATTGGGTGAGGTAAAACAGTTTCAAATTTTAAGTGTTTGATATCATGGTGGGAAAGCATTAGAACTGATTTTGCCTCTTGTCGAAGTTGATTTCAATATAGATGCGGATTTTTGGTTATTGTTAGGTAAAATTGATTTTTTCACTAAATCTTGGTTTGACTTAAATGGTAATTTTTGAGTTAGGTTGAAAAATTTACCCTAAGTTTTGCATCAAACTGGCTTCAGGATGAAAGTGTTGAAATGTAAATCACTTCACTTCAAAATCAATTTTGGCCCAAATCAATTTTGCAAACGTTCACCTAAACACACTCTAAATCTAAGTCACTTTTGATATGTAAGTGACTTAGTTTACTTTGTAATAATGTTAGAAGCTATTTGAACCAATTCGGTTACACATTATTGAGCTGTTGTTTGCTTTGAGAAACGTTTCTTTTTTTACTTTGTGTTTTTGAACAATTACAAATGTGTCACTTGATTTATACTCTGTTTCCAGCTTTTATAGATTTGTACCGGGAATAATGAAAACATGGTTTTTGTTGTTTTAAGGCCCTAAGTAATTTATTTGTTATATTTGATGAAGGGAGCTTCATTGTTATGCTAATTGAGATGAATCTCTCTCTCTTCTCTCTCTCTCTCTCTATGTAATGTATGTAGTTAATCCCATTATCAAAACTGAAAATGGCTGGAGCAGAGCTTTTGAAATGGGATGTTCAGCCATTTGTTAAGCACAAAAGAGCTGACACTTTTAAATGTCACTTAGAGCAGGTAATTGAAGTGTCATTTTCTTTTGAGAACTTTCCCTTATGTGAGATTTATACATTTTCATTCACCATTTTTTAATGGTCTGTTTCTTTTCTGAATGCTGAAAAGCTGAGAGAATCGATCTTGGAAGGTACTCATCCACATACTGATTACATGAAAGAAAGAAGTGGGTTATTTCCTCAGAATGGAAGTTATACAGTGGCTGTAAGTGACGAAAAATATGATCATTCAGATAAGGATGCGGGGAACTCCACTGTTGCAAAAAATATGGGAGAAAAAGAGAACTCAGTGTCCTTAATTTTAGGTGACGGGAATAAATCTTCAAAAGAACACATGCTTGATAATAATTTTTTGCCATCTAAGAGTAGGGTTCACTCAGCTGATGATCATCTTACAAGACACCGTGGAAAGCAAGTTTGTATAAATGAATGTGATGATTTCTTTAGAAATTCAAAGAGGATTAAATGTTATGCATATACAAGTTTTGATTCTAAGAAAGAAAAACCAGTTTCTCAACTCAGACAGGAAGCTTCAGAACAATTAACTGAAAGAATTCTTCCAAGTTCTGAGCAAGGAAAGCATCATGCTGACAACAATAACATGGAAATTCTGGGTGATGTGTCCTCAGAGGATAGTCACAATAAATGTACTGCTTCAAAATTGTGCCAATCCAGCAGCCATATTGAAGTCTTTCATGATGAATCAAATATTCCTTTTAATGATACTTTGATGCTTCAACATTCATTTGGAGGCGAAAATTTTCAGCAACGGCAGGTTGAGTCAATTTCATATATTGCACTTCCAGATAGAATCCAGCATAAGATTTCTGGAACTAAACCCTGGTCTAAACAGGAAACAGATTTACAACTCGAAGATCCTAATGGCTCACTGCGGCAAAGTGCTAGTGTTAAAGCTCCAGATCATACCGAGAATAGTTGTGGGGTAGAGATATCGGGTGCTATTGTTTATCAAGGTGAAAAGATTAACCTTGTGATAGAAAAGAAGGCAGATCAAAATCTTTGTTTGAAGTGTAATGAAGGTGATCAATTACTGATTTGTGATGCAAATGTTGTCCAACCAGTGGTTCCTGAAAATTGTCTTGGTATGACAACCACCATTATGCCTCAGCACACCTATGTAGCTGAACCTTGCAATAATACATCAATGGATGAAACTGATGGCACTGCACATCATGCCATTCCAACAAATGATTCTAATGCAGAAAAAAATCAGCATATGATTAATTTACACCAACCTAAACAAAAGGAACCAGATATTCGACCTTTAAATCTCTCTCAGAAGCCAGTTGCTAGTGATAAAACTAAAGTTGATATGGTTAATGAATGTGGAGCAGAGTTATCAAGTGATGGTGATGGATATCACAATGAAAAAAATTATTTTGAAGCAAGGACTGAATCAAATGAACAAAATCTTTGCATGAAGTGTAATGAAGGTGGCCAATTACTGGCTTGTAAGAAAACTACTTGCCCATTGATGGTGCATAAAAACTGTCTAGGTGCATCTGCTCAGTTGGATGCAAAGGGCAACTTTTTTTGCCCATTTTGTGCATATTCTCAAGCTATTTCAGAATATCTTGAAGCCAAGAAAAATGCTTCCTTTGCAAGGGAAGAATTAGCCATATTCATTAGTAAAGGTATACAAAATCAAGCTGCAGAACTTGTTTATGATTTTCAAAGACAAGAACATTGTTTTTCAAGAAAGAGTAGCAAGTGTGAACATAGTCATGTCAAAGACAACGAAAATGACCAGTTAACAGGGTATGAAGGCAATAGAGAAGATCAGGATGGTGGGCATCCAAATGAAGCAAATAATCTTCAGTTTGAAAAATGTCATCAACAAGCTCCTATACCATGCATTCATTCATCATGCAGAGAAAAGGAAAATGTAAATAATGGATATGATAAAGTTTTAAGAGAAGAGGAAATAGGTGAAATGCCAAATGCAAAGAGCTTAACTGGTGGAAGAGTTGAAGAAACTGAAGTGTCAACTGATCATGTAGATAGACATGTTGGTGATAAATTTACTTGTGAAAAAACAAATATTGCTCCTGTTAATAAAAGCAATGCTGGAGAAGTTCCGCAAGAAATGATTAAACAGCACAATATTGATGGAACAATAGAGCCTGTCCGTGCACATGATACTGGAAAAGAGGAAATTTCTGAACATGAATGTGAAACGCATAGTATTCCTAGATACACCATGAGATTCCGTGAACATGTAACACAATGGTAAGTTCCTACACTTTCCGTACCATGTTTGATTAACTTCCGATTAGTTGAGCTGCTAAGAAATTCTGCCTTTTGTCATGTGCAGTGCTTTAAATGTTTTTGGTTACAAAATTTTCATAAGGATGTATTTGTTTTGTTTCGCATGCTATGAATACTTTTTTTGATGTTGAAAGTTTGTATTATTGATTCAATTTTTTAATAAATTCCTGAAGTCAAGTTAGGTTTGAGCTTTTGGCTTGTGTAAGCTACTTTCAGCAGGCATTTGGCTTAAGACTTGATTTTTCATACCTGAGAATAGTACTCTGGGAATGTTATGCATAGGAATCTATTAAACTAATATTTAGTTTACTTTGACCTTTCTAGGGAATATTGTAATTTAGTCCCAGGAATCTTCCTATTTTTGGTTTGAGACAACATTCCATGTTTGTTTATTTTTCAAAAATATCCCTAATAACTAGTCTAGCAGATTCAACGAGGAAAACACTGTTGCACATTTACCACAACAACCAGAGCCTTTTCCAAATATGTAGGATCAGTTACATGGACCAAATGATGCCAATTTATTTTGTCAAAAACCAAATCTTTAGAGGCCATATTTTTCAGAACTATTCCTGTGGAATAAGAATAAACTCATCCGTTCCTCTAGTGGAAATGATTTTGTGGGAATCCTAATTAGATATAATATCTGAGTTAGTATTGTGCGGGAATGTATCATTCTACCTCAAGATTTCTGGGAATGAAAAAATAATTCATGAACCAAAAGCAGCCTTATGGTAATAATTACTTTTAAAGGAATGACATTATTAGGGTTATTCTAATTTGATTGGTTATTTTGACTTGCAGCAAACCCCAAGCAAGCCCGGTATTTCATTGTAGTCAGTTTAGACGAAGGAAAATTCCATGGACAGCTGAGGAGGAAGAGCTGATAAGGGTATCATTTTTCTTTTCTTCATCATTTCTTCCGTGTAGTTTGTCTTCATACTCTTTATAAACCCTAAACTGTAAATCCTAAACCCTAAACCCTAAATTGCTTTATGTTTCTATATAAACATCATTCCTCTGAAATGTATTTCTTTTGCTTCGACAAATATTCATTGATTTAGAACAATCTAATACTGTGTTAGTGCATGTTTGAATTCTCATTGGTGATCTGCGTATTATTTTTTCACATTAAAATGGATCAAAAGAAATTAATAGTTTCTTCTCTGATCCATGCTTGAGGTGTGTGGATGAGAAACCAAACACCCACTGAGAAAGTTAAATGACGTGGATTCATGGATGTGTTTCTTCCACTTAGAGTTCTGCAGCTTAATGTATCTCAAGGATATATATGTTTTCAACTGTTGTCATAATTGTTTTCTTTCTCTGTGAAGGAGGGAGTGAAGAAGTTTGGGTTGAATGACCCAAAGAAATGGAACAAAATTTTAGCATTCGGTTCTTGTGTGTTTGAGATGACTGGTAAGCGTCGGACATCACAAGACCTAAAGGATAAATGGAAGAACATGTGCAAAGCTCACTCAAAATCAAAATGAAAGGCATCATCTCAAATGATACTTGAAAGATTGGTCAGTCTGTCTGCTGCTGTTCCTCATTCTCATCTGACGACTGCCAGTAGTTGAAAGTTAGATACAATTAGTATTGTCTATACAAGGACTCAGCTCTACCATGAACTACTCAATTTGTTTATGGGTAACCCTATTATATCTTATAAAATATAGCTTATTAGATCTGGATTGAATCTGTGTTATGCACTTCCTGTCTGATTTGATGAATTTTCTGTACCATGTTCTTTCACTTCAGGAGATATTTTAGTCCAAAAGAAGATTATTTTGCATCTAGTTCCTCTTGTCTACATATTATTGGTTGATAGAAAGAATATGATCCATATCTAAAAATTATCTGTACTGGTATATATAGTTCCAGCAAGGTTTTTGTCTCAATATCTTAACCTCAAAAAGAAAGAATTATGGTTCATGGATCTTTATTTATGGCTTCAAAAATTCAGTTTTCCTCTTCCTGTTCTCTAAATGAAAACAAACAGTTAAAGTTGATAGTAGTTGGTAGAAATTGTGGTTTTGTTCTCCGCTCGTCTTGATATTCTATGAATGTAAACAAAAATAATGAAGCAGATTGCATTTATATCAAGATGTTGGTATGCGATAGACATTATCTTTTTCGGCTCATCAATGTGCTCAAAGTTCGTTACTTAGTATCCTAGGATCTTTTTTGTTCATCAAATTAATCTGGTTGAGTCAATTGTATGACATTTGTTGACACTGTTGTTTGCTTATGTTTAATGCATTTCATTTTTTTCTTCCATCCAGAGTCCAGAAACATTTGGCCAATGATTTTTTATATTGTTACAGCTAGTCTCCCATTACATTTACAGCAATCACTTTACCCGTACAAGAAAGGTGCAAGATCTTTTGCCAAGAGAATCATGGGAGTGGTGCTTTACATGCCATTTCAATAAGGTTGATTAGTTCTGACCACTTGATTGCCAATAATAAGGTTGATTTATCTTTGACCATTTAAAACAAACAATTGATGTAAATTTTCACTGCAAGCGATCGCTTGTATAAAAAGGTTTTAGTGAAATCTTGATGATATAATATATCTCTATATATTTTCCATAGGTGTTTCATGTTAATTATCTTTTCACAATTGCCTGTGTATATTTCCTCCCCTTTATTTCTTTCTTTTCCTCCCGAATGTATTTCCAGTTTGTCTTGTAACCGTTAAGTATATCTGTGTCGTACGGTTGCCTTATATGCAACAATTTTACCGTACCATCACTCACATTGTCATGTCTAAATTTGCCTTATTTGGTTTTAAGTAGGCTTTTTCCAGGCTTCAGTGATAAGAATGTAATTCACAGATGACACAGGTAGGCATGGGATAAAGGTGAACTGGGTCTCGAGAATCAGGTTGTGGATTGCAGGAAAACATGTGAAATGTAGCTCGTGAAATTGTAAAATGTTGAGGTGGATCTTTCTCTTAATTCTTCCGTTGGAGGACAAATTCAGCCATAGTATAGAATCCAAAGATGAGTGTCAGAGTTCATTCAAAGCACTCACAGTTACTTGGAAAAACTCTTGTCATATACTGTAATCACTGCCTCAACATTTAATAACCTTTTTTCTTTCACATCGGGGATCAAATGTCATCTCTTCATTTGTAAGTATGTTAGCAAATTAAAAACCATTTAACACTGCTATTAACATTTTTGGACATGAAAAACGGATAAACGTGTAATTTTTTAATTCAAGATGGTTTTCCTATCAATTTGAAAATCCTAGGTTGACTAAGTTTTAAACAATAGTTAATCGATCATAATAAGAATGAACGAAGTTTTTCTTTGTCTTAACCAAAGCAGTAATCATGTAGGCTTGAATAATCATGGGTATGCAACATAATCCATTAACCACCCGTGACATTCAAAAGCAGAATAGATATCTAAAATAATTCGGTCAATCAATTAAAAAACGATTGACCTTAATTCCAAGTTAATATTTTTTCATCTTTTCATTTTAACTATCCCTTTGTGAAACAAGTTATCTTTTGTATGGACAGCAAAGATATAATCATCTACAACATGTTAAGACCATGCAATTTCTTAGTTGCAATAATCAACACGTGTAATTTGCGTAGTTTACAGCAATATCAACAGAATTCATTCAACCCAGAAAATTCTTGGTAAAAAGAAGAAAGAAAAAAAATATTCAGTATATGAATGAAACTATCTGTGCCTTCACTAAGTAACGGTCACATGGCCACTTCTCGAACCGTGACAACATTAACACCAAACTTCACACTTGCTCCTACATATCCCGCTCCTTTCCTCCCACATCATGCATCAGTTCCAAGTATATATCATCAACACCTTGCCTTGCTCAATTCCCATCATTACCAACCATGGAAGGTTGCAAAAAGTCTCCACTAAAGCCTTGGAAGAAAGGACCAACCAGGGGCAAAGGTGGCCCCCAAAATGCCGCATGTGAGTATAGAGGTGTTAGACAAAGAACATGGGGCAAATGGGTGGCTGAGATAAGAGAGCCAAAGAAGAGAACCAGACTCTGGCTTGGCTCCTTTGCCACAGCAGAAGAAGCTGCCTTGGCCTATGATGAGGCTGCAAGGAGACTCTATGGCCCTGAGGCTTACCTTAACCTCCCCCACATGCAACCTAACTTCACCACTTCAAAATCTCAAAAGTTCAAGTGGTTCCCTTCCAGGAACTTCATTTCCATGTTCCCCTCACGTGGACTACTCAATCTCAATGCTCAACCGAGTCTCCACGTCATCCACCAGAGGCTGCAACAGCTTAGGCAAAATGGGGTGGTTGCAATTCATCAATCACCAGATCATTCAAGTTCATCCACTGATCCAAAGGTGGTACAACTTGATAACCTAGGCTGCCAAAACCATGCAGAAACTCTCCCTCCAGTGCAACATGATCATGCTCAAACTTCACCTCAGAAAACACTTGGTGATTCTGAGGAGAAGCCTCAGATAGACCTACTTGAGTTTCTTCAACAGATGGGAATACTAAAAGAAGAAAGAGGGTCAGAGAAAACTGAGAGCACAGGAAGTTCAACACTGTCTGAAGCTGCATCAAGAGATGACAGTGAACAACCAGGAGTGTTTTCTGACATGAGTGTTAACTGGGAGGAGTTGATTGAGATGCATGACCATGGAGTTGCGGATAATTTTCTTGCATCAGAAGGTATCCAGTTTGAAGCATGTGACATAAACGAGGACCTTACTTTCTCTTCTTCCATTTGGAACTACTAAGAAAACTAGTCAAGAAAATATAATATAAATATTTTATATGGCTTTGATATGGTTGAAACTAGTTAAGAATAGGTGATAAGTAGATCAAGTGATCAACAAGTACTATAAATATTATATAATCAGAAGGTGTTGGACCTTTGATTTACTACAAGTACTCTATTATTGTTGTGTTTTCAGCAGAAAAAAAAATGTCTTGATGTTGGCAGCTAGCAATGTATTAGAGGGAAAGTAGCTTAGTCCTGATTGAGAATGGAGATATATCAGTCTGCTAGTAAAAACAATCGACATATTTTCAGTATTGTGGGGACTTCAAAGTGAAACATTAGTATTTTATGTTTCCTACCCCTTTTGCTTTGTTTCCTCAACGGATGTGAGTCAGATAGGAGAAATTAATTATTATCATAATCCTCGATTATTATGGTCTCAGTCAATTTTCATGCAATAAATAATGAAGTACTTTAAGGAAAAACTTATTACTTATACTTTTCCTGCTTATTAAACACACCTCTCATCCATTTTTTTTATATATAAAATTACTTAATACTCTTTTTTTTTTAATTTTTTTCTCAAATAATTACCTACCCTTCTATTTCTTCACACATTTTCTTTTGGAAATTACTTTACGAATAAATATGTACTATTCTAGAAAGTAATATTCAAAACTATTTTTTGACAAAAACAACAGTTCTAGAAGTACGTGTTTGTTCTGAAAATTATTTTTAAAATTATGTATTTGTTTCGAAAAGTATTTTCTAAAATAATGTTATTTATTTCCTGGTATATATGTTTGTTTTTGGCAACATTAACCAAAAAAATAAGCACAAATTTAATCATAATCACACGAATATCTGCATCTTGAAAAAGCAATGAGGACATCTCGAAGAAAATATACAAACTTTTTTCTTATCATGCTGCTTATCACTGCAAATGTCAACCCTTATCATTAAAACCTGCATTGTATGGTACAGTAAAATTGTACAAATCATATAAACTTGTATCCATAAATTGTTTAAAGTAAAATCATTCATAATTTCCCAAATAATAGAAGTAAAACGGTAAACGTTAATGATCATCCTAAAATAGATTTTGCTATCACTTGAGAGAAACATTGTAAATTAGTAATCGTGAATTCCTTTGGGCATTCTAATATCTAATTAATTTTTTCTTCCCAGTCCTCGAACTCAGTAAGGATGTTTCATAAATTTCTTTGAAGAAATTTGCTTCGTCGGTTAACTTGGTTGAAAAAGAAATACAGAAATAAGATCAACATTGACATATTAAGTATAGTTTGTGTTAATCTCACTTTTGGGGTGCCGTTCTTGGTACCCCATACCATCATTTCTCCAACTTTCTCTAGCTTATCAACTTTCCACTTACCCAAAAAATACTTGTGTCTTCTCCATTATTGTTTTATCTTCTTAAATTGTATTTTTTTTTTGGTTCGTCCCTGGAGTATCTACCGCCGACAGCAGTGACTAATCTCCTCGCTACGTTGGAGGCACCTCAAAGGGTGGGATAGCTGGCCCCAAGATTTAACGTGGCTGCATATACAAGGCAGGATTCGAACCCCTGACCTTGCTTAAGCGTGGATCAACCCCTACCGCTGAACCACACGCTTGGGGTTCTTAAATTGTATTTTGAAGTTCAACATATTACTCATTTATCAATAATTATATTTAATTAAGAGGTGTATATCATATAAATATGTAATCAGTATTAATATCACTTTTTCTTATCAACAACTACTGAGTGCAGTATAACACCACGTTGTCAACCCAAATCAAAGATCTGTAATGTACTTATTGATATCTATGGAACAAAAAAGAAACAAGAAAAATATATATGTAATCATTTTTTTCTCTTGTTTTTTCACCATAATAATCTCTTGTAAATGACATAATTTTACAATTCCACATCCTGGCAGCCTGAGAGAATAAAGCTCTGAAAAAAATACAAAAAACTGATGCATTTTACATGCACATTTATGCGAGAAGGGAAAAAGAATAATTTATGTCCACCCTGATTGAATGATTTACTGCACTGGAGATGGTAACCACATATGACAAACTTAATCTTCACTTTCTTTTACAAATGACAAGAAATTCTTTTAATCTTGACCCCGAAAATGAAGCAGAAAGGTTATCCTTTCCCCTACTCCTCTGGAAATATCTTGGTCTTGTAGTCTACACACTAACCAAGCTCTTTAGATGGTGCTTACCAAGCACTGGTTAGGTAATCCAAACTTCTTGTTGTGGCGAACTTGTTTCCTCCAAGGATCATTATGTAACTTGTAATGCAAAACCTTGATTAACACAAAATCTATATAGTCAAAAGGTTAAATTATATAGACAAATACACTCATTAATTGCATATGTAGATTACTCATTTTCCACTTTGCATATAATGTTGATTCTGTTAATTGATCGTGTGTACAAGTTAGTGTATCCAATTTGAAATTAATTGCCCCAAAATCGATTATTGTTAACTAGGACCATCTGTCTCGTTCCACATTCTCAACTGAATTAAAAATTGGAAATTAATTATTTTTATGAGATCTAAAAGGATCTAGTCCTCTTAACTCTTTTCGAACCAAGACATTGTATGCTCAATGATCATGGTGAGAACCAGCAAAAACTAATCCTGAGGTATTGAAAAGCATAACTAAATTAGAAAAATGCTAACGGCACTCTAATACTTTCTTGATAATATACCCTCTACTGATAATTGAAAATCACAACTTTTTGTGACTCTTATCACTAAATCAGGAGAGAGATTGAGGACCAACAAAATTTGTAATTTTGAATAAATTTCAACCAATAATAAAAAGAGTATTAGAAAGAGTACGTTAAATTAAAATGATTCTGTTAGCTGACTTCAGAATAGTTTCAATATCATAATAACAAATAATTTAAGGGGTTCTTTATGTTGTGCCTGTAAGGAGGGGGCATTCAATCAGCATTCTGTGCAATCATTTAGAAATTTCTTGTTTTCTTCCAACTCTGTCGTCAAGGCTTAATGATCATAACACCTAGTTGCTAGCCAACAACTCGATAGTTTACAATCCATTCTATAATAGTTTTGACAAATGAAGAAAGTACCTGTATTAAAGTGGCAGAGGCATCATCCTGTGTCAGTTTTAAGAATTCAACTGCCCAATCATCAACATGTCCAATAGCAGCCTTTTGCCTTTCAGCTTCAAGCATAACAGAATCACGATACATGAATCTTTGCCATATTTTCTGAACATTTGCCAGCTTCAATTTGATTTGTGTCTCATTGAATCCCTGCAAGAAGAAGTGGATTATCAACCACTCAATCAGTCTTCCCTAGGATGACAACTTCATGCAAAGCACCTTGATTTAAATTGTATGATAAATTACGCAATAACTCAAAACAAATTAGAGGAAAAAAATAGCGAAAATAAATACCCGAAGAATCTTTATCAAGTTTGGAATTTCCTCCTCTTGTAATCGAACAGCAAAGCTGTCATAGTTGAGCATATTCTCGTATGGTAGGAAAATCCCATCCTACAGAACAAGGAAACAAAGGCAAAAGGAATACAGTTACCATCATACATAATTTCAGTCATTTCAGTAATTACTTTCAAACATATAATACTGTAAACATGAAAATGGAAGCTTAAATAAACTATTTTCGTCACTAACAAATAGCTGTGAATCATTTCTAAACTACTCATAGGATTTAACGTGATACAGACATTCTGAAGATGATCAACAAATAACTTTCAAACATATAATACTGTAAACATGAAAATGGAAGCTTAAATAAACTATTTTCGTCACTAACAAATAGCTGTGAATCATTTCTAAACTACTCATAGGATTTAACGTGATACAGACATTCTGAAGATGATCAACAAATAATTTTCAATGTAGGCTTAAATATGTTTTTAGTCCTTTAAATTTAAAACTGATCTTTATAGTCCATGTAATTTTAAAAAATCTTGTTTTAGTCTTTATACTCAAATTTTGTTAGGGAATCTGTCAAATGAAGTCACCTAAAATCTACCTTCTGTTAATAAAAACATGATATTAAACCTCATTGATACTATATAATTGTTTCAAACTGTCATTTTCAGGTATGTTATTGGTGATCTGAGGAACTAAAATAAGATTTTTGAAAATTATAAGGACTAAAAATAAAAATTTTAAATTTAAGGGATCAAAAAATAAATTTTTCCTAACTTTGAGGAACTAAAAACATATTTAAGTTTTCAATGTATTATGTAGAAAATCTTATTTACTTTGCATTTATTGTTAGAGATTTTATAGGCAAGTCATATCTAATTTATAGGAACTAAGGGTCTATTTGGATACAGGCTTAAAAACACTTTTAAGAACTCCTTTTACTGAAAAATGTTCTTTATTTTCAGTAGAGAAACTCTCAAAAATGCTTTTAGCTTGTATTTGAACAGGCTCTAAATCTCTTAAGATTATTTGTATTTATTGTGATAAGCCTACATAAACGTGGTGTCATTTAGACACAGTTTCAGCATCTCTAGCATCTGTTTTCCTCTCTTTCAACACATTACAAATCATCTTTCTGTAACATCCAAGTGTTTGTCGAATTCAATTCCTATTCCTTAGCAGTGACAAAGCCAGGTCACTTGAAATTAATTACAAGCTTTGTACAAAACCATTTTTAAATTGATTCAGTTGGGGAAAAAAAGTAAATGAAAAAGAAGAGCTTAAATTACCACCTGAATGATCACAGGAATGCATCCTTGCAAAATACTGTCTTCCATGCGACCACTCCAACCATCTCCAGGAAACACTCCGCAGAAAACAGAGCTTGCTAGATCCATGTGATAGTTTTCAGAACGCTCCGGGGTCACAATGACGTCTTTGGCATGCTGTTTCCCAAGTTTTCCATCCTTGTTAGGGCTTGATCCAAACTCTTCTGCCAGCTTCTGTCTGATACCCATGCTATACCTGCACCACTTCCAACAATCTTCAAACCAGATCTTCTATAACATTTAATAAAATATCTAAACCTTAAGAAACTTAAGGTGACCAACAATATATCCAACAAAGCTTTTTAACAAGAAAGTGGGAGAAATTATTCAATTTCATAAATAACATTTGGCAAGAGGATATGAAGGTTAACAATTTGGGAAAATGTGAACATGCTTTTAACACAATATATCACATACTGCATGCTTCAACAAATTCCTAAATAGTTTTCAAGTAAACTTACGAATCTTCTGGTCTTCCATGGGGATACGCTGGTCCTAAATTCCCATTGAAGTAGAACAGTGTCTTCCGCTGCTCATGAGACCTGAAAACAAATTATAACATGGTTGCATCGTTTGCTTTGAAGAAACTGAATGAAGAGAATAAAAGATTCAAGCATAACCATAAAAATGATGCAATTGACTGAGGTAAAAAATAATTTTTGGACAAATATTTACCTAGCCCAAAGTTTTAAAGTCAACACATTAGCATCGGGAACTTTCCAAGCAGGAAGCACAAGATCTTTGTCGGGGTCAAAACATGGATGAATGCCTCTTTTGTCAGAAGGGATTTTATCCCAGTTGTCAGCCCAATAGGCTGTGGTTGAATGGTTATGCTTTGTGTTTGTGTTTCCCCAGTGAACTAACATCATGCTGTTCCATATCTCCTTGGGAGCATAGCAAGCACCTTCATCCCATGAAAAAAACTGCCTTCAAAAGCAAATTATTAGCACCTACTTTCAATAGAAAATACAGTAAAAGTTACTTCATTAAGAACATTCAACATGGGATCAACAATTCTCCTTACCCAGATGTGGTCCCTTCCTGAAGAGCGATTCCAATAAGGATATTGCTCAACAATGTGATTATATGCGTTTCTATAATATTCCAAAGTGAGAGAGCTTCTCAATCCCATATGCTCCTGAATGTTATAAAAGGAAATGTAGGAAGAAGTGAAAAATAAGAGTGAAATATGGAATCAATAGCAAATGCTAGACTAGATAGATTTATATCTTTATATTACAAAACAGGTCTACAACCCAAGAATTAACTAAACATAATCTGAGCATTGCTGATGGTAAGAACAAACAAGTAATATATATATAACTGAAGATCTATCACTCCATTCTAAAAGAGAGAAAAGAACATCACATGCAAGTTGCAACTGTCTTTCCCATTTTGAAATTACTATTCAGGAACATCAGTGGAAGAAAAATTCATGAACATGGTAACATAGATATCAGTGTTGACTGTCATGTCATCCAATTGATGACAGATATTGAAACTCAGAAAGATCTGAAAGCACTAGGCATGAAACACTACTGCAATCAGTCTTTATAAACATGCCACATGCAGCAATAGATATTCTACAGATATATTCTGGTAAAAATAACAGTTAATAAAATATACCTGCATACTCAAGTGAGGAGCATCATCAGCACGAGTTATGATACATGAATCAAGAACAGGAACAAAGAAAAAATCTGCCTCTTCACCATTTAGTGTTCGATGAGGACTAGCTAACAAACTCTCGTAAAGTGCAATCTGTAGACAAGCAGCAGCACATGATAAATGATATGTTAAATTTGACCAAATGAAATGGTCTTATGTAGAAGTCATGAAATACCTGGGCACCATACAATTGTTCTGTCCATACAGTTACATTATTGCCATCATAAATTCTATTTACACACTCTAACTTAAAATGGCGTCCCTACAATAACCCAAAAAGAAAGATAAGAATAGAAAATAGAAAAATAAAATCAATTTTTCTCTCTTGGGATGTAACCAAGTGTGACACTCAGATTATACTGACCTCAAGTAGCAAGCTGTTGAACTCTGGGGGCAAATCATAAACATATATAAGAGGCCTTTTCTTTGCAACCACAGCATTAAGATTAATCAGTTTTCCATTGGCATAATTATCATCAGGAATATCAATCTGTGCAGGACGAAGCCAACTAGGCCACTCTCTTATAGAAGAAATCACAGATGGTGTGCTGCAATCTACTCCATACCAGCCATTGTCACACTGAAAATACACTATATTCATCTTATTTACTGAGATGGGATGGAAGTGACCATTTCACAGTATAAATACACAAAATTCAGTTTATCTACATAAAATGAACAGAAACAGATATAATTTATACAGCATTGAATGTGATAGTATTTTCATTTTATCTTAATGTTGTTACCCTTGAGAAACTTATCAATGTCATTTAAAGGAATAAAACTAGACATTATGTTGGACAGGTACAAGCTTGCATTTAGTATTTCAAAGTGATGTCATTCTTGTAAATGTTCATTCATCTTTCATTCATTAATATTTAATCCTTCATTGATATTTCATACTTCTGTCGTCTTTAATTTCTTCTCTATAGGTTTATTCTCCTCCAGCTTCAACTTATTTGGTTTTAAAATAAATATAGTAAGAGCATCTTTTCTTGGAATGAGACTTTTCATTATGGACCTAAATGTTTTAAAATAATTGTCTTTATCTTATATGTCTTAGTAGTAATTTAGTTGCTACTAGTCAGTCCCTACAAGAAAATGAAAACTATAGATGATTGACAAAGTTTTTCTTCTAGTAAACAAGTAAGACAACAAATCCATGCGTCAAAATAGTAAACAAAAGAATCACCTGACAAAATCCACCACGACAGTGTCCATGTCTCGAGCATTGATTAATACAAACAGACTCCACAGGAACTTCACAAAGTCGTCCAGCAAGACCATCATATTTGCAGTCACATTCTTCTTTAATTTTCACCTTGCCAGCATATGCTTCAGCTGGGTCCACATTACACCAACCAGCTATGCTACCATTAGTTGTAAACACATCTTGGTCAATTTTTGTCCAATTCACTATTTTGGGACCGTCAGGTTCAGAAGGCACACTGAAACAGATGAAAGGAGTGAGATTTGAATAATACACATTGAGAAAGTTAGCCAATGAAACTCAATACTAGGAATCTAATTTTACATACTTAAATTGAAACCCACATGTCTCTGCCAATGGTCGATTTGGATATTTTGTGCCTTCTCCACAGAAGCACATTGCTCTTGTCGTGTCACAGTTGGCTGGGCAAATTGAGACGACCCATCGCCCAAATGGTTGATCTGGTGATCCTTGGTAATTGCATTCCAATTGCAATTTTTCAGTGCATCCATCCCCTGTCACCTCAGAAATTAGCATGATTGATCAGACTAACTAGTAAGCAAAATATGCCTTTGTACAATAACCAAACATATTCAGGAAATGGTAGCAGCAAGTTATGTAACTTTCTTCTTTGTTCTGTTTTAAGCATATCAGAGAATGTTACTATGTCTATAGCAATAAAAAGAAATAGTTAGAACTTTGAAGTAACTAGTAAGAGATTTGAAATACTAGAAAAGGTTAGTGTTATTTTTCTGAGTAATAATAGTATACAGGGGAATTACATATATTATATATATACTTGTCCTAACCTAATATTTATAGGGAAAAAACCTTGCTATCCAAATTACAGAAAATAAAATAGAATCAAACAAATAAAACATGTCACATTTATTACATGTCAAATGTATTTCAAGTCAACACAACCCCTCAAGGTGGTGAATGGATATCTATCATTCCTAGGTTGCAGGAAAGATCAAAGAATCACTCTGTGAAAAGTCCCTTATTTAATATATCTGTTAGTTGACTCCTAGAAGTGACATACATTGCTGCTATAAGACCACTGCGCAATTTTCCATTAAACATTATGTATCAGGTCAAAAAAATAAAGGATGTAGGGGAAAGAACTAACCAGAATAACCATGAAAACATCGACACTGTCCCAATTCTCGATTACAAACCCCCAGGCCACTGCATTCATTTTTGCAGTTATTTTCACCTATTATCTGTTAATCAACAATAATATTAAGGTGCAAAAATAACTTTTGGCGAGAAGATATCAAGTCAAGGCTAGTAACAACTATACTACTTCTGAAAAACTAACTTGCAGAAATATGAAACCTCTGAATTAACGACTCAGAAAGAAGACAAGAATTAGAATCTCAACAAAAAGCCGGAAATAAAAGATACGAGTGTCACCAGACCTCAGTAATATTGACTTCCTTAACAACAGAATCACAACCAGCAAGCCACTGGCCAATTTCAGCCTTCCATGGCGCACCCTGATAAACAACTGCTCCATGCAAGTCAGCCGGAAACTGACCTTTAATATCAACTGCAGGCCATTCCTGGTCCCGGTTGCTTGGGAATTCTGCTGATGCATTAGTCTGGATGCACGAGTCCTGAGCTATCTTAAAATAATTGAAAGAAGGTGTCAAAGGGAACAAGAATAAATGTACTACAGAAACCAATGCCAGAACAGAAGCAATTGTCGCTGCAAGAGACCAAGAGCACCTCCACTTGTTCATGGAGAACAAATCTAACAAGTCCCTTGCCATACTAAACCACAAAACACTACAAAACAAACTCTCAGTCTTCTGATTCACCAAGCTGCCTTGACATCATAACCTGAAATACCAACAATAAAATCACCATCACCATTCGAGACAATGATCAAAGCCTTATCCCATTTGTACATTGTTGGGATTCAAAAGTTGCACATCAATAGAACAAGAAGATGAACATAGGTTTATAAGCACAATAGAGTCTCCCTGGTGAACATAAGAATATAATACTCCACCTGAAAAATATATTTCTACCAAAAACTAACACATCACACATATCAAAAAACACACACGTACCTATACCATTACAAAGCTCAACTAGGCTTAAAACTAAGAAAGCTTTTCTTTTGTTTATGACATGAAGAGAAGAAAACAGTGCCAGCAATTAACAGCTACTAATGCAGAGTAAAAAGTGCTAACCGATTTTGGAATTTCAACACAAATACCGAAGAATCACAACTGAGTTCAATAAACAAAGGCAACTATCAGATGACCCCACATTGGTATTCTGACATCTGCAGAGCGTTGACTCACCTTTCTCGGATCTGAATCTCCAAACACAACCTCAAGCGGAGATTCAACATGGGCAAGAACCAGGTTTGCCCAATTCAACAAATTAATTGACAAGGTGGCTCCTTTAAAGCGCCAGCTACTACAAATCGCAAAAGGGTCAACGGGAATGCCAAAAATTGAGGCTTTTTTATTAATTTTTTTTCCGGCAACTATCTCAGGTTCTCAACCACGTTGTGAACACTTCAATTATATATGAACGTGGGACCACTCACTTGTAATTCTCTCATCCGAATGTAGCATTCTCAGTTTTGGTTTCGCATTTAAAGATATTGATTTTTGAAAGGGATGATTAACATTGAAGGGGTGGAATGGAATCTTTGTGGGCTTTCACCTTCAAAAGCCGCCAAAGTTCTCTTTCTCGGAAGATGAATCAGGTCCCAACTGATTTTCACGTTAATATTTTGAAAAGACTATATTGCCCTTATTGCTGTTAGGGTTCATTTTATGACATATAGATGGGTACAGTCTTCGCCTTTTGGGTTCTTAGTTGTGTAGCATAAAAGAATAATCTACAAGATCAGAGTCACTCTTAGAGCACCTCCAGTGGGTGCTTAGGGTGTATCTTAAAAATAAGCAACGTTGCTTATAAGAAATTCTTACTGGAGCTATCTTAGGTGGCAAAACAAGTCCAAAATTTTTTAGCACCGTTGCTTGGAGAAGCAACAGTGCTTACACTCTGAAAATTAAAATGAAAAGGTTTGATTGGCTGTTGTTCGTCCTAGGTGGAACATGACAGTGACTGTTTTTGCAAACAAAAAATAGATAAAACTTCCACACCTAGTTCTCCCTCTCAATGGACTCCCTCCGATGGCCATGTTCTGAGCAGCGGCAGCACGTCCGGGGCGGTGTGGTTATGGAAGCCGGCCGCGCGCACGACGGTGGTGGTGTGGTAGTCGAAGACGGCCATGCGGATGGCGGGGGGGGGAAAAAACGGTCGCAGCCCGCGCGTCTCCGGGGTCCTTCGTCATGCGAAAATTGTCCGACCAGATCTCCTCTGGTGCCGGCCGCTCCGTCCAATCAAACCTCCTCTGGTGCACGCCTCTTCGCCCGACCAGACAGCCTTAGCTCCGTCCACAGCTCCGCCCAACCAGACCTCCGCCCGGGACTCCTCAACTGCCCACACGTCTCACCAGGGTGGGTCTTTCATGGTGAAACTTTGAGAGAGAGAGAGTGAAAGGTGAGAATAAGAGAGAAGAAAAAGAGACGTTAAAGGGAAGGTGAGAAACGGAGAATGAGAAAGAGAAAGTGAAAAGTGAGACTTGAACAAAAAAAAAAAAAAAAAAAGAGACGTTGGGATGCTTATAAGCAATTTGCATTGGAGTAAAAATTGAAAAAATGTAGTATGGATTGCTTATGAGTGATGTAGCACAGTGGGACCTATTTAAAATGGTTGGGATTTGCTTATAAGCAAATCCCATTGTAGATGCTCTTAAGTGTTTTTTTTCCTCGAGTGCTGTGAAAAATTATGATACTCTTATAACTCATATTTTAAATTTAAAGATGTAAAATATATAAATAATGAACACACAAATGTTAAAAATATCGATTAAACATATAATACATTTGAAGGATATTGTGAATTATGTTTTGAGGTCACTATACATTAAAAAATAATCAATAATGATAATTATTATAAAAAAATTCACAATAAAAAAGTGAAGATTTATGATTTAATTTTAATATTTTTGAAAAATAAATAGGTCATAATTTAAAAGTAGAAAAAAAATCAAATAAATTAAAAATAAAGAAAAAAACTGAAGTTAAAGATAATCTTTATTTATGATTTTAACTAACACTTGAAAAGTTCTAAAAAAAAAAAGTTAATATTATATAATATTTTTCTCTTTACATTCAATATTACTTAATTATTTTTCTAAAATTATGAGTAGTTTTTTTTATTAGTGTAAAAAAGTAATTATTAATTAATTTTTCACAATTAATTTTTTTTGAAGTAAATTGTTCATAATTAATTTTATTTTTTAATACATTTTTTATGTAATTTTTAATTTTTATACTATATTTCCAAATATTTTTTTTAGTATCCCTCTACTAATGGATCCTTAGATGGTTGTCCCATCACTCTGTGCTCAAAGCCACCATTATATATGATTGTATTATAATATCTATGTACGTTTATATATTCTTAGAGTTTTAAGAGAAGATAATTATGAAAAAAATAATATTAAGATTTTAGAGTTATGTTGAGTGTTCTTTTTTATTGTGGAAAGTGAGTAGTATAAATTTAAACATAAATGCGTCTAATTAAAAATGGAAATTAAATAGGAGGTTACTAACCTATATCTCTTTTATAATGAGTTTATTTTTTTAATTGTGGAGCGTGAGTAGTATAAATTTAAAGGTAAAAATATTTAATTAAAAATGAAAATCAAAATGAATGGTTACTAAACCGTATTTCCTTTATAATATGTATAGATGTATAGATAGTATGTATAAATATGTATAGATTAGCATAAAAAAAACACTTTGTGTTCATGTATATTTTGTTTAAAAATTAAAAATAAAATAAATGACACAAATAATTGAAGTTAAATATGTTAGAAAAGAATGGCACAATCCAAGAGGAGGGTGAATTGGATTCTATGACCCTTTAAAAATTATCAGAGTATTTAGGATCTTTATTTCACTTAAACTTTTCTAAGACTGAATTTTTCAAATGAAGCTCTCTCAAAGACTTGTTATGAAAGTATGAATGCAATATGCTTTCTTGATTACAAAATTGTGAGGTTCAAATATAATGTTCTAATTCAGATTTAAACCAACAATTTTTACATACACATGTTAATCAAGAATTATCTTCTTTAATGTTCAATCAAGCAATTACTCAAAGTAAAAGATAAGGTAGAAGAAGATTGCACAAGTCTTTTATACTGGTTCAGCCACTCCACATGTGACCTACATCCAGTCCTTAATCAACACCTGATTAAGATTTGTTCCACTATCTTAAGCAAGAAGGTTTACAAGCACACACACATGCATATACTTCAACACAAAAGATAACCACTTTCTTGACCCCAAGAAAGCACCCCTTGTAGAACCCACTACAAGAAACCTTACCACTTGAGAAACCCTTCTCAAGATTTTTACAAAGATTCACAAAGAATAAAGGAACGAATTCACCTGGAATTCTTGAAGCAAATCTTAATCTTCCCCTTTCAAGATATGATGATGATGATGATCTCACAAAGTTTTTCACAAACGTTTTTGCTCTTGGATTTCACAAAGAAAACTCTCCAAGATGTCACAAAGACTCCCCAAAACGCTTTTCACAAATTGATTATCAGTTCTAACTCAATGTCTGAAGTTTCTCAAAGTTCAAACTATTTATAAAAGTTTCAGACGCAGATAATCGATTATTTTAAAGAATAATCGATTATTTTGTTCTTCAGGTTTTCTGGAAACCAACCAAGAACAATATAATCGATTATTTTGCTGGATAATCAATTATTCCAGAGAGTTGTTTCTGGGATAATCGATTATTTTGGCAAATAATCGATTATTGCAGCAAGGCATCCCATTTTGCCTGTTGCTGGAATAATCGATTATATTTAACGATAATCGATTATTTTGAGTTAGTTTTCAAAACTTTGTTTTAAGTCTCAAAATAACTTTCCAACCTTTTCACTCATCATCACATACCTCTACTTAGCTTTAGATATAGATTTGCTTATGCACAAAGCATACTAAGCACACACAATATAAAATCTCATTCAAAACAACTTAATTTCTAAACTCTATTACATTGCTCCATTACATAGCATTTTCTTGACTTTTCTTTGACTTTGTTTTTGTGCTTCCAAGTTGTAAGTTGTTGTTGTACACTTGTGTTGTGATCATCAAAACTTCTTTAGGCTTCAAGCTCACCTAAGCTCAACAAAATACTTGTGATTGGTTAACAATTAGAGATGTGAAAATTTTTTAGTAATTATTTAGAGGGTGTGAGGGTTTTGAAAAATAAATTGATGGAATCATGTTCAAGAAGGCAAGAGGGGACATCCTAAAAGATCCAAGAGGAGTGGGCTAGGCATGAAGGTTTGGGCTAGTCAAAAGCCCAATAGGCCCGATGGGCTTGGAAGGTCCAAGATGAGCTTTACATGGGCCTATCTTGTATATCCATTTTGTTATTATGCTTTGTAGTATAGGTTTGGGCCTTTGGGCTTGTATTGCATTTCGGGCCTTGTATTTTGGCCACCTAGATTAGGATTTACATTTCATGGCAATATGAATTTAGGGTTAATTTAGGTTAGCATGTGCATGTTCATTTGCATGTAATTAGTATGGCATTTAGTATGCATTTCGGCCATGTGCACACATGCACATGGTGTGTCCGAAATGCTACTCAAATTGATACCAAATTACATCCAAATGAGAGTGCACATGGGAAGGTGACCGGTTGGCACCAAAATTTGAATATTTGAATTCAAATTTTGGCGCCTAAGGTTAAGTAAACCATACCATGGTTTAACTTAACCTTAGGTTAAACCAAATGTACACCTTACCCTAAGTTTCCCTATAAATTCACCATTTGGCCGAGAGTTGTGCACTTTGGATCATTATATGAGAATTATTCATTTTGCTAATTCTCCCTCCGAAGTCTCCATAAACTTTTTCTCCACCCTACTTGAGATCTTCTCCTTGTAGAGTTAGGTTCCTCATCTTCTATCCGAGATAGATAGGTGAACTTAGGCTACCTTGCTCCTTCTTTCAAGCTTCATTTCCTTGCTTCATTCCAAGGAACCGAGAAGGAGTTGTGTGGAAGCATCTATGAAGTTTTTCCTCCAAGAAGAACTTTATCAAGTGGTATCAGAGCTCGGCTACAAGAGATAAGTGTCTTATCTTTTGTTTGATTGTGTGATCCGTTTGAAAATTTTGTGTCATTGTCACTTTTCAGTTGATTCTTTCCTAGATCTAATTTGTGCCTAAAATTTGATGGATCTAGCTTTTCGGATTGCTTGAATGATTCATACATGCTTCTTGATTTAGTTGCTTTCCATGAATCAGGCTCTACAAATTGTGCCTCTAGGAAATTTCAGCTTATGTGCTTTTGTTTTCTTGAGTCTTAATTGAAATTTTCGGTCATTTGAATTGCTTGAGTCTTTTAAATTTTTGAATCCATGTCTAGTGTCATGTGTCATTTCTTGCATGTTCATAATTCCTAGCTATGCTTGTTTTACTCTTTTGTGTTAATTGCTTTTGAATTTTTCTGGACTTGGCCGAATCCTTTTGTTTTAGTGGTGCTCCATAATTTTGATTTGATTTGAGTTCATAAACTACTATTAGATCATTAGTAGTTTTCTTAGTTCTTAGGTTTCTTTTGATTCCAAATTGTCTCCTAATTCTTGTGTTAAATCCGTG